GCCGTGCTGTGCTGTGCTGTGCTGTGCGAGAAGGAGAAGGGGAGGGGGGAGGTGTGAGACGCGGGTGCGGCGCGGCAGGGAAGAAAACCAGAACCCCACGAAACATGTGGGGAAACAACGATTCAGGAGGAGACGCCAGTCCCTGGGAAGGGGTCCACACCTCTTGGGGGGCCAAGTTTCAAAATAATCCCGACGTGGGATGTTTGTGTGTCGCGGTTTCCACTGGTCGGCTCCGCTCTGCGGGGTGTTGTCGTTGGGGGGGCGCGGGTGTTGTCTTCTCCGAAGTGTTGGGCGGACGCTGGCGCGTCGCGCAGGATCACCGTGTCCAGCAAGGACACTCGGTCACCTCTGCGGGAGGGGTTTGCCCTCGTCCCCCTTCTCTCTCTCTGAAGCAGGGACTTGCCACTCTTGCGGCTGTGCGGGCCGCCAGAGCCAGTACGTACCATCTTGGACATCCCCCCCCTCCTTCCTCCTTCTCCTCCCCCCCCCTCCTCCTCCTCCTCCTCCTCCTTCTCCTCCTCCTCCTCCTCCTCCTCCTCCTCCTCCTCCTCCTCCTCCTCCTCCTCCTCTCCGCTCTTCCTCTCCCCTCCTCCTTCCTCATCCTGTGCGGGCGATTGCGTCACACCGTGACCACTCGTCGTTGACACGTGCCGACGCTATCCCTCCTGTCCCCCTACTTTTTCCCCCCCTAGCCTGCCGCCCTGGCCCCCGCGCGGGCGAGGAGAAGTTCCACATCGACGATGAGCACGTTGCAGCAGTGCGCCCCCGTCGGCCCTGTGTGCGGCGTGGGGGGGAGGTGGAAGAGGAGGAGAGCGGCAGCGTATGGAGCACCCATGCCATCAGGAAGCAGGAAACAAGAGGAGGAGGAGGAGGAGGAGGAGGAGGAGGAGGAGGAGGAGGAGGAGGAGGAGGAGGAGGAGGAGGAGGAGGAGGAGGAGGAGGAGGAGGCGGAGGCGGAGGCGGAGGCGGAGGAGGAGGAGGAGGAGGAGGAGGAGGAGGAAGAAGAAAAAGAAGAATAAGAGGAATAATAAGAATAAGAAGAAGGAGGAGGAGGAGGCGGAGAAGGATGAGGCGGAGGAGGAGATGGGTGTGCGGCGTGCAGGGGAGGAGAGTCGGGAGCGTCCATGACCCAGGTCTCTGACGATCTGATTTTTTCAGCCGGCGGGTGTTCCTCGTTTTCGTTCCTTTGGGGGGCGTTCTCGGGCCAGGGGGCCATCACAAATATATGCGAGGCGAAAAACGGCCCCTCGGGTAAGGGGTCGCGACCTCTGGGGCCGCGGATCGTACAGCGTTTTTTCTCCTCGGGGTGCTCTCCAGCAGCCGCGCCTGGTCGAGGGTGTGCCTGGGCTGTCCGTGCACCCCGTGCCAGATCCGCCAGTTCCACAGGCTCGATCATTTTCGGGGACTCAGGTTTTGCAGGGCTTGTGGGGCCTAAGGGGTGGAACAGTTCGTTAGGCTCGCGGCGCCGTGCGTGTGTGTGTGTGTGTGTGTGTGTGTGTGTGTGTGTGTGTGTGCGTGTGTGTGTGTGTGTGTGTGTGTGTGTGCGTGTGGCCAAATTCTGCAAGGCCAGGATAACAACTTTTGAGGCCATCGGTTCTGGACAGTTGCCCGGGGGAGTTAGCACGTAGCCCCACTCAGCACATGTAGTTGGCTGGCTGCAGGTGTGGTTCAGCATCTCAGGCTGCTGTTGGCGGTGGTGCGGGTCAAGCACCGCTGCCCTGACCAGTGCGGCGAGAGGCCGCCGAGGCATGCGGGGGGCCTGGTTTCTGGGGGCCGGCATTCTGCCGGGTCTCTTCTTTTTCAAAGCTATGCTGATGTGACTGTCGGATTCCGTCGTAGGTCGAATTGCAGGCGGAGGAGGAGGAGGAAACGGAGGAGGGAGGAAGAGGAGGGGGAGGAGGAGGAGGAGGAGGAGGAGGAGGAGGAGGAGGAGGAGGAGGAGGAGGAGGAGCAGCAGGTGGAGGAGGAGCAGGAGGAGGAGGAGGTGAAGTAGGAAGGTGCAGGAGGAGGAGGAGGAGCAGAGGGAGAACGTGGGCGGACGCGGACGCGGACGCGGGTCGATGATGATGATGAGGAGGGAGGAGGAGGAGAGGAGGAGGGATGGAGGAGGATGAATGAGGAGGATGATGAGGAGGATTGAAGAGGAGGAGAAAGGGGGAGGTGCAGGAAGAGGAGGAGGAGGAGGAGGAGGAGGAGGAGGAGGAGGAGGAGGAGGACCCCGTTTTCCTTTACCTCCTCTGCCTGCCTTCGCCCCCTCGTCCTCGTTGCCCCAGGGGAGTATATAGTTTCTACGTTTAGTGCGTTGCCTGCTGCTCCTGGGGTGACACGGAGTGGTCACGGAGTGGTCACGGAGTGATCACGGAGTGATCACGGAGTGACGCTACCGCCCGCACAGGAGGAAGGATGAGGAGGGGAGAGGAAGAGAGGGGAGGAGGAGGGAGGGAGGAGGAGGGGGGATGATGATGTTGATGATGATGATGAAGATGATGATGATGATGAT